TTGTAATGCACTGCATTTATTTGTCATCATAATTTCTAAATATTTTATTTTCTCTTATACCTGGAAGTTTGAGATTTCTTGTAATTTCTTCGCCTGTTTTGTATCCATATTTGTAGTCATAATCTTAGTTTTATTAATATTCACTCTCAAGCCTGCTACTTGTCCATAGTCTTGTAATTTCTTCTTCAAAGTATATATAGAAGCCACCGGATTCTCTAAAATGTATACTACGTCATCCACAAATGCTAATAGTTTGTCCTCTGTGATCCAGTGATCTGTTTTTCACTTCTAATTGAATCATTAAGTATTTCAAGTGCAAAAATGAATAAAAGCGGTGATAGAGGGCAACCTTGTCTCGTCCCTTTTTGAATTTCAACGTTTTTTGTCCGATCTCCATTGATCATAACAGTTGCGTTCTGTTTAGTATAAATGGCTTGAATCATCCTAATGAAGTCCGCTCTGGCCTGAGCCATTTTTAAAGTCTCCAATACAAAAGTCCAGTTAACGTTATCAAAGTCCTTCTCTGCATCCAAAAATATCAAAGCCAGTTGCTTTTCTGGATGTGCTTCATAGTACTCTATAACGTCTATAATACATCTTAGATTGTTCTTTATTTGTCTTTTAGACAAAAATTCTGCTTGATCTTTATGTATTGTTTTTGCCTTTAAAGGTGAAGATCCTTCAGGTAGAAGCCATCTGTAGGATATGTTGTTATTTCTCAACACTGCTGTCAAATCAGTGTATTATTTTCTCTGTGACTCTCCAAGGAATTTCTTTTAAGACATTAATTTCTGTTTTATGCATCATCAATGGTGATGCATTCACTTCTCTCAATATCTTGTCTCTGACTGCCCTCTTGTGAAAGCGAATTTGGACCTCTCTTGGTAATTGAAATCTTCTTGTACATACTGAATACATTCTAAAAGCAACAGCAATTTCTTGAGTAATCTCCACTTCTTCCATGTTCATTAGTTCAGCTAATAGTTTGGCCATTTTGTAAAGAAGGTCTTCATTCTTTTCTTCAGGCATATTTTGGAATCTTAATACAAAGGCAGCCCTTTCAACCTGTAGTCTCGTGACATCTTGCTCCAAAGTAGATTTTCTCGCTTCTGTGTCTCAAATCTTAGTCTCCATTTCTTTTGTTTTGACTTCTATTTTTTCTGTTGTGGTATTCAGTTCAGTAATCTTTTGAGTATTATCTGTTATTAGTTTTTGAAGTGCCTGCATACTTGTAGAAATTTTTTCAGTTATTTCTTTCATCGCATTCTTAATGGGATCCACTGTTTCCATGATAGAAGTCCGAATTTCCTCCATAGGGATTTTGAATGGTTTGACCGCATTACTAATTGAGCTTAAAATAGTCGCTTGGACCAACGCCTGCATCTCTTTTTGTGCAGGCGCTGAAAATTTAGAGGTGGTAGAGCCAGAAATTCCTAGTGAAGGAGCTGGAGTTTTAACTGTTTTAATTTGTGTTGCTTGACCTGCCATCTTGAAGACACGTTCAATAGATCTATTGGGTTAATTAACTTTTGGCAAATAGCCTAAATTTTTCTTCCCCTTTAGCTCCAATACTTATTTTCTTTTCATACCAATTGTTTTGGAACCCCAAAAATCTTTGGCTGACTGCCCTGGCTGACTGCCCAGATCTTGTTTTTAATAGCCAAGTTGATTGTTTAAAGTTTTCTCCAGCTCAATGTTTTCACCATAAACTACAAATATGCGTCTCAAGGTCAATATAACTCGCAACACCCCTCTAGCCTATTAATTCAAAGTCCAAATGTCTATGGGGGGGCAATTTTTCAAGCAATTTATTGGTGCTCCACAATTAATAAAGTTGCAGCTTTTCCCTGGAGTCCCTTTCAGTTAATAGTTCATTTATAGTAGTAGTCCCCTTTATTTTATTTTTTTCCAAATCAATTTTATTTTTCTGAGACCC